TGCGGGGGGTGACCCGTGGGGACCTGCGCTAGGAGGAGGCAAACATTCGCTTCGCTCAGCAAACTCTCACCCGCTGGTGTCGACATCCACCGGGGATTTTTTCACTCTATCGTCACTATGCTGGCCGCTAAATATTTCTCAAATTTCATCTTTTCTTCCTTATTACTGGCCTTTCTACTGCACAGGAGGGCTTTCCTCTCTCATTCGTTTATTCGCCTCAGGAGGTATATATGGGGTTCTGATCTTAGTCAATGGCTTATGCTCTGTTGCTGCCATGATCTGATGCTTACGTTGTCCCAGACCCAGCCAGCACGAGTGACCTTTTGACGTGTCCCCCTCGAATTCTGAGCACTTGCTGATACAAGATACTCGCTCACTCTCCCCCCGTCCTGGAGGGACGTTTCTCGGAGCAACAGAGGACGGAACTAAGAAACCAAGATCTGGTGCTGAGTGTGCCCGCCGCTGCTGGGGTGTCACGGCTTCTAGGAAAGCCGCATAATACACGCGCCCACATCCGCGTGTCCGAGCACGTGTGCTTCTGCATCTGTCTGCATCAGTGTGCAAGTGCACGCGCTCGTTGGTGGAATGAAATCGTGAGCTCAAACGGGTACCTCGGACTGTAACCCAGGGTCACAGGGTTTGTCTCAACCTCCATCCCCGTCGCCCCTCGATCACACGGCCTTGCTCTGTGCGCAGCCGAGGCCTGGGCATCACCAGCCTGAGGGAGGCCCTCGTCTGGCTGAGCGAAGGGCAGACGGACTCACCAGGCAGGGGCCCAGTGCTGAGCCAGACGGTCTTCTGGAAGGTACAAGGGAGGCAGAAGCAATATCCCCAGGAAGCTCTGGGGTGAGAGCAAAACCTTAAGATTTTCTGGATGGAATGAGCGGCCAAAAAAGATGGCTGCTGTCCGGCTCTGTGGAAAGACCTCAAGTGATGCAGGGTCGCTGGGAAAGGGCAAACGTGTCCCCAAGCAGCTGGGAGGGGGCTCCTCACACCCTGCTGTCCCCCAAGAGAGGCTGCCCTCCATTCAAGGCGCGAGTGACTCTAGTTATGGCCTCCTCAGACCTGCTTATGAATAACCAGCTAATACAATTCTGACTGTTCTATTTCTAGGGATCCTGCTCCCTTTTTTTTAAGGACTTATTTTTAATTTCATTTAATTTTTTAAGTACGCTCTACGACCAGTGTGGAGCCCAATGTAGGGCTTGAACTCATGACCCTGAGATGAAGACCTGAGCTGAAATCAAGAGTCAGATGCTTAACCCACTGAGCCACCCAGGCACCCCAATTCTTATTCTATTTTTTTAAGTAGGCTCCAGGGCCAACGTGCATGGGGCTTGAACTCACAGCTCTGAGACCAAGAGTCACATGCTCGACCAAGACAGCCAGGTGCCCTGGGATCCTGTTCAAGGTTGCTCTGTTGAGGGTTTCATTTCTCTCATCCAACAAACATAATTTCTCCCAAAGACAAAAGTATTTCTAGGTTTGATGCACGTGTGCTCTCAATTCAACACCGCGTCTTTACAGAACAGGGAGCCTGCAGGAAACGTCTGCACACAACCAGGACTAATACCAGCAAGGAAGGGCAAGGCCGCTCTGGAGCTCATGGTCTGCACACTGGTGGCCGGGAAGCTGGAGTGAAGCTGCTCACCATCACCAAGTGCTGGGCAGTGGAGGCTGGAGTGTTCCCAGGAGGGACATACACCTCTCCTGGGGGTCCCAAGGCAGCGTGGCAGTGCCGGATACACGGGGCTTGATGAGTGTGAGTGAAGCTGGGTACCAGCCTCTGGGAGTGCCCCAGAGGTGTATTTTAAGGCCAAGAGCACCTACAAATCCTGGAGAGCTAGTGCATTGATTGATAAGCCCCAAGACCAGAAACTGTGCCTGGAACTCAACCCCCGAGCGAGAATTGATTTTCCACCTCACAGGAGACAAAAATCCCCAGGACGACAGCAGGTGTGGGCCTTCTGCCAGGCCCGGATGAGGCCATCTCTTTAGCTTGTGCACGAACAACAAACCAAGATGTCACTGGAGGTTCCGACGCACGCCAGCTGGAAATCGTGACCAGAGCGTCATGCTGAGATGCATCTGCACATGGGGTGCCGGCCAGGAGTCTGGGCGCCAGCACCCGCGATGGGGGCACCCCTCAACACCAGGGCATCGTGTCTGCAGCTCATTCTCAAATGGTTCTGGGGGAAGAAAAAGGAGAGAGAGAGAAAAGAAATGTGCTAAAATACTGACATTTAGGGGATGTGGGTCAAGAGTGCTACTCTTGAACAGTCCTGTTTCAATTTTAGGCTTAAAAGGAACAATAACAGGCAGGGGGCGGTACAGGGGCTGGGAGAAGGGCTGGTCATCTGAGGCCACGGACCCAGTCCCTCACGTGTTTCCCCAGCCCTGGCAAAGCCCGCCGCCATCTGCGCCTCCTGCCCAGCGCCAGCTGGTCAGTGGCTGCAGGAAGCAGCGTGCTTTTGCCCCAGCCTCGGCCGGACCAGCTGCTCAGGGAGATTCTAGTCGCGCCCAAGCCTCCTCCGCAACAGGCGGCCTCACTCGGGCCCTGGAGCAGATGCAGCCTTTGGTGGAAAGCCCCATCTTCTCTCCTCCCCACCAGAAGCTCCTGTCTCTCGTCCGCTCTCCCTGCCCACCTGCCAGGGCTGTGCCCTTCCCTCTGTGCCCATCTCCTGGCCACTGCAGGCCCTCACTGAATGACCACTCCTCCCTGCTCCCCAGTCTCGGAGCTGGCTCAGGCCTCTGGAAGGCAGGCAGACGCCTCCCTTTGCCGGGTGCCGTCCTTCCCCACCCACATTCACTCCGTAGCACTGGGACATCTGGCTTCCACACTCCCCCCAAATGGCGGCGTAAGAGAGAGAATTTAGATCTGTGACGTGAGCAGGGATCTCTGCTCCACCTCTTAGAGCTGTGTGATTTTCGCCCATGTCCACGACCTGCGGGCAGTGGACGTGCAGGCTCAGCACGAACTGTAACACTGACTCCTCTTTGTCCCCCCATCTTGTCTGCCTGTCCCTGATCCCTCTACACTGCCTCCCGGGAACTAAGGTCAGAACCACCCTGTCTGCCTGTGGTTCCCAACCCTGCTGCCCTTCTCCTCGACTTAGCTTGTCTGGGTCCCACAGCTGCCTACATGTCTCCGCCTGGGCAGCCAGCCAGCTCCTCAAATTTAACACACTGCCTGACACTTGGACCCGCTCTCATCTGTGCTGGATTTGCTAAAAGGCAGTCACAGCAGGTGCTTAAGGCCACTGAGAAGTAATAAACTTCTGGGAAAAGAATGTGATATTCCAAAAATGCACCAAAGCTCGACCCATTGTGCACCATTCTCTGTGAGTTGCATAGGGGAGGAGCACCGAACATCGGCAGGCTGGGACCCAGGAGGTCTCTGCTCAGTGCTCCCTATCATCTCCAGAGCTGGTCCTCCCCAGCAGCCTTGGGCACTCTAACATTAACGTGGACTCCTCTTGCCTGCCCCCACATCCGGTTTTTAAATCTTGATGCTTCTCTTGCCCCAAAGGCCCCACAGCTCCCTCCCTCTCCACCAGCCACATCCAGTCCCTGCTTGCTTGGGTCTGCAACACAGCTGTTGCCTCCTAATGGACCCCGCCAGGCTGTCCTGTGCCATGAGTCACCTCCTCCAACTACAGAGCAGACATACATGTCACACTCCTGCTCACACAGCTCTGCCTCCCCGCTCCAAGTCCAAGCCCCTGCCTAGAGGTCAAGGCCCTCTCGCTGTGATGTTCACCACCCCTCCTCGCAGACCCTGGGCTCCAGCCAAACCAGACTTCTTGCCATCTGGGAACATATGTTCCCTCTGCCCAAAATAATCTACATCCATCTCCACCTGTCAAGATCTGTCTTTGTTCAATAAATAGTACCGGGACAATTGGCCATTTGAAGGAATTTTTTTAGATTCTCTGCTTCACAGTATGCACCAAAATATGTTACAAACGAGAATGAAACGTAAAACATGATGTAATCATGTATGTTTAAGAAAACAAACTAAAAAGTCTGAAAAATATGTGATCATCAAATATATGAAAAGGAATAAGATCCTAGGCTCAAAACCAAAGCCCGAGATCTGACTCAACAGGCAGAACCGGGCTGGTCAGAACCAGGCTGATGAGCGAGGAGCAGAAGGGCGGCGAGTTCTTCCTAAGCTGAGCCTGGCCGCGGGGGCGGGGCGGCCGGCGGGACCTCAAGGAGGAGCCGCGGGGCACCTTTCACGAAGGCCAAACGGGGTCCGGCGCCCAGAGAGGCCCACGTCCTCCCCCGGCCGAGGCTTTCCGCCGGACCGGCCCGCGCTCCGAGATTGGCGGACGGAAGCTGCACCGCCCCCCTACCCATCCCGCTCCCCTCCTCCCCTCCGGCCTGCGGCGATGACGTCACCGCGCCCACGTGACGCGAAGCGCCCGGGCCGTTGCCCAGCAACGCTACCAGATCAGCTCTGTTCTGAGCGCGGATTACCCAGGAATCCTCCCTCTTTTAATGCCTCTCCATTTAGAAGTAACCACAATCATAACCGCTTTTCCTACAAGGAAGTGCACTTATCTCGACGAGTCTGGCACCTGGGAGACACGCGACCGCAAACGGGACGCACACCGTCTCCGCCCCTGGCCCTCCCGCGCCCTTCCCGTCCCCAGACGCTCTCCCCTTCCCAAGGCGCCGCGCGCCACGACGTCACTGTTCTGCGCGCGGCCGCCGTCGCCGCCGCGGCGCGCGGCGCTTCCGGCCGCGAGGGCGTGTGGGCGGGGCGGGTGGCGTCAGGGGGCGCGCGCCGGAAGCTGGCGGGAGCCGGGCGGAAGTGGCGGGGCGGAGCGCGGGGCGATGGGGGGCGGCGGCGGCGGCGGAGGCCGGCGATGAGCGGCGGGAGCGCGTGAGCGGCCGGCGGGCGAGGCTGGGGGCCCCGGAGAGCGAGCCGCAGGGCGGAGGGCGGGCGCGAGCGCGGCGGGCGGCGGCGGCCGAAGCGCGGCGGCGGCGGCGGCGGCCGAGAAGATGGCGGACGGCGACAGCGGCAGCGAACGCGGCGGCGGCGGGCCCGGCGGCTTCCAGCCCGCGGTCCGCGGAGGCGAGCAGGAGACGCAGGAGCTGGCCTCGAAGCGGCTGGACATCCAGAACAAGCGCTTTTACCTGGACGTGAAGCAGAACGCTAAGGGCCGCTTCCTGAAGATCGCCGAGGTGGGCGCGGGGGGCTCCAAGAGCCGCCTGACGCTGTCCATGGCGGTGGCCGCCGAGTTCCGCGACTACCTGGGCGACTTCATCGAGCACTACGCGCAGCTGGGCCCCAGCAGCCCGGAGCAGGTGGCGGCGGCGGGCGCCGAGGACGGCGGCGGGCCGCGGCGCGCGCTCAAGAGCGAGTTCCTGGTGCGCGAGAACCGCAAGTACTACCTGGACCTCAAGGAGAACCAGCGCGGCCGCTTCCTGCGCATCCGCCAGACGGTCAACCGCGGCGGTGGCGGCCCCGGGCCCGGCGGCCTGCAGAGCGGCCAGACCATTGCGCTGCCCGCGCAGGGCCTCATCGAGTTCCGGGACGCGCTGGCGAAGCTCATCGACGACTACGGCGGCGACGACGACGAGCTGGCGGGGGGCCCGGGCGGCGGCGCGGGGGGCGCGGGCGGCGGCCTGTACGGCGAGCTCCCGGAAGGCACCTCCATCACCGTGGACTCCAAGCGCTTCTTCTTCGACGTGGGCTGCAACAAGTACGGCGTGTTTCTGCGCGTCAGTGAGGTGAAGCCGTCCTACCGCAACGCCATCACCGTCCCCTTCAAAGCCTGGGGCAAGTTCGGGGGCGCCTTTTGCCGTTACGCGGACGAGATGAAAGAGATCCAGGAGCGGCAGAGGGATAAGCTGTACGAGCGGCGCGGCGGCGACGAGTCGGAGTGCGAGGAGGTGGACGAGGACTGAGGGCGCCCTTTCCCCGACGGGCCCCCGCCCCGCCTCCGTCCCCTTGCCTGGAGAGCCCCCTTCCTGCTCATCCCCAGGGAGCTAGTGGAGGCGGAGCCGGGAGGCCCCGTCGGGAGAACACAAAGTTAAAAAATAATACAGTTCATCGAGAGAAATAACCACAAAAGAACAGTCGCAGACAATTCGAGAAAAGCAGCAAAGTTCCAAGGAACTGACAGCAGCCTGCAAAGAGGAGACAACCTGAGCAAAATCGTCTCTGTTTCCATAGTTTCCAGCTGGGGTCTGCGACCCCGGCAGGGTAGCCCTGCGGGGGGCCAGATCCTTGCGTGCCCGGGGGCCGGGGAACACTGGAGTCCCCCCAGACGCATCCATGACAGCTGCATGTGTGTTCTACCTGGGTGTCCTGGCCTGACGATCTCTCCCGACCTCACTGTTGTGGGGTCGATCTCTTCACCTCCACTGAAATCACCGTATTGGATCTAGGTCTTCGTGGGATTCTTGAGAAGAGAGAGGCCTTGGCCTTTGCCCAGTTCTGAGGGTACAGGTTTCATGAAAAGAAGTGCGACTTTAAATAATCATGGACAGGGCAGAATAAGAATTCAAGAAGCCACCGGGAAATATAGAAACAAGTTGGGTCCATTTTGTCTAAAATGGTTTTGTGTGGAACCTGGACCAGTGTCCGTGTCTCTTTGTGGCATTGTTTTCCTGGATGCAAATGGATTCAGATGTCAATCCTTCAACCAGAAGCTGTTACTAAAGGGTTTTGGAAGTTGGCCAAGTTTTTTTCAGCGCTAAGAGCCGTTTAACATTGGGGGTTGCTGAGGTAGGCACGGGAAGAAATCCGGCATCAAGCACAAGGAGGACTGTTGGAGTGGATTAGTTGCTGCTCACTAAAGTCCTTCCCCCGGTCTCTAGACACAGAGGTCATCACCAAGAGATGGCTTAGGGGGGAATGGGGGCCTGGTCCCTGTGGCTTTCTGCCTGAGCTGGCTAATTCGGCTCTTTGGGCCGCTGGTTGGCTGGATTTTCAACCGTTAAACTTGAAGATACCTACAAAAGGAACTGTGGCTACAAGCCTGAGCTTTAATGGAATATATGTCCTCACAGAAAAGTTGGAAATAACCAAAACTGAAGTCTTCACCTACCTTCAGTTCCGTCTGTGGATTTGTTCACATACTAAAGATCCTCAGGTCCAGAATTCCAGCATCATCTATTCTTTTAAAGTAAATTTTTAAGAACTCGATCCATTGTTTTAGTACCTCCCAATCAAAGTAGGCAAATGATGGATGAGTGATTGGAGCAGCGCGCCCTTTAGAAGCTGAAATCCATCAGAATGGAGATGAAGGGAACGTACAAATGCTGACTGTGTCCTGGAAGCATTTTTATACCATCTTGAAATTTCAACAAACTGGCTTTTGCCAGTTTATCCAGCTGTTTTTCAAGAATAAAAGTTGGGGTTTTCAAGGATCGCCTCTTCTATATTTTAAATGGATTTTCAGTAGAAATGATTTTTACTAATCAAGTTAATCCCACCCCATCACCAAGGTATTCCTAGAAGTGTCACAGACCTAGGCGACTTTGAATTGAACGGGAGCTAACGTTCTTTCCAAAGTTTGTAGGTATTCTTTGTGCGACACCTTCTCAACCAGGAGGCAAGTAACCCCACCTCCACAATCTTAGTTTTGTGTTTTTGTTTTTTTTAACTGCATGCCTGCCCTTTATCTGAGCTGCCATTTAATTTATTGCATACCCTTTTATTATCTGAGTTTGGTATTATTCAATCTATACAATCTTTTTGTATTTATTGGGAAATAAGTAATCTACAAAAAGGTCATCTTCATGCATCGTGGCCGAGAGGGAGGGAAAGAACTGTACATAAAATTAGGCTTTTTTTTAAAAAATTAGACTATGATTCAGAATACTGTTGATCTTAGGTTTTTAAAAAAAAAAAAAGTGGAAGAGCCACAAACTGGTGCCCTTTTCAGACTATTTCTCTACTCTCATCCTCCACAGTAGACTTTTTAAACAGATTTTTTTTAAAGCTTTTCCTTTTTTTAAAAAACTTTCTCCGTCGCAAAGAATGTTTCCTAAATTGTATGGGAGCAATAGTATTTTTGATGTTTTAATGACATCCGTATATACTCGTACTGTATTTTGTACCACAAGGCAGCTGTTTTCAATAATGTCCTGCTGTATTGACCTATGTGTTTTGAGTGTTGATTTCTTTGCTGCGGAGAACAAATCCCTACACCGTTTTAGTAAGGGCGCTAGTGTTAGGTTTGCAGAAACTGTTTCAGTTTCAACTTTGAGGCAGCAATGAAAATTCAGGTTGCAGCTCTCAGTTAACTGCTGTGACTTGTTCATTTTCACACCGTGTACAATTCCTGTTTAGACCAACTTGTTTTCTTGCTTCAGTGGTGGTTCTGTTGCTCAGCTGCACTGAGCCAGTTCAATTTTGCAGAGGTGCAGTACCTCCCCTTTGGAAGGGGCTGGTGTATTTTTTCTTTTCTTTTTGTTTGGCTAAATTGCAGTAACTAGCCTTGCCTTTCTATTCTGTAGAAATGACAGGGTCTTCACAATCCTTCACCAGTGGCTACTAAGCTATAATTAGCTGAATAGAAAGAATGTGGAAGTGGTCTGAGGCATATAGAGTATATGCCAAGAACACTACCATATATGGCATCAGCTTTGGTTACCAGAGAAATTTTCTTAGTCATTAGACCATATAACAGTAATATATCATATGTAAATCTTTAGATATCAATTTGAGAATCCTCCAAAAAAAGGAGCAAAGAATGCATAAGCTATGTGTTGGAAAAAGTAATTTATATTAAAATTTTGACCTGCCTATGTAAGAATAAGTGGTAAACGTCATAGTGGTGGGTTTTTAAGTCTTAACCAATCTCAAAGGTTTGTTTCTCCTGCAGGGGGTGGTTCACAGTCTCTCTTCTCACTGCAGGAAGATTACAGAAGGGTGTGGATTAGTTGTAGCATTTCACTGACCCTCATTCAACTCACTGTTCTGGGGCAATAGAAATCCGCGGAGCACAGAGACTGCTCTTTTGATGTGTGGCCTGTTACCGAGGCCGGATTTCAGAACTCGTTCAGAAACAGCGCTTAGCAAAGAAAATCTGTTAATTCCACTCAGAAAATGGCATTACAGACTCTGGGAAACAACCAGATTTTTTTTGTTCTGGTTTTCATCCTCTACTACGAACAGTGATTTAGGGCTTGTCCTTTTACCTTGGCAAACATCCCAGCTAATCACATGTTCAAAACAGTCCAATTTCTAAGAAGTGGGGAACGAAAATTCCTTTTGCAACCAGTGGTAGAGTGTTTCTCAAGCCAGTGCCGTTCTGGACACGAGAAGTCCGGTCGCAGGAATAGAATCAAAAGAGCAAAACTCTGTGGTGAGATCCCGCCATTGCTTCGTGGTTTCTATTGTCCCCACTCTGGTTCGAGTCGCGGGGCAGTTCTAGTCCGCGGAGAAAGCCTTCAGTGCATATGCTGCACAGAGCGCCACGTGAATCTATATGGCACCCAAAACTCAAAGTGGAAACCCAATGGGAAATGCAGACACCCTGAGCTGCCGTGGGAGGCATGGAGTCGGTCAGAAGGGCTGTGGCCGTGGCGCATACACGGCCACTTGTCAGGTCACTTTCCACAATGGTTTGCTGCCGGCCAGTGGGGAGGCTGCGGGGGGTGGGGGGGGTGCGTGGGCAGCCCGGCCCCTCTTGCTCCTTCCGGCCCCTCCCTCGCCTGGCAGTAAATTGCAGGTCTTTTAAAGAGACGCAAGCTTCAGTTTTCTCAAAACAAAACAGTTATCCTGTCTTATCTGAAAAATGCAGGGTTGTGGGCAGAAGAGGCTGGTTATAATAATGCCCTCATATTGAGTGGTCTGAAAACGGCTGCACACTTCAGGCGCATAGTTGCTGAGGATGCTTTGTTCCGTGTGACCTTGACCGGCTCTACTGGAGGGTAGAGTGACCTGCACAAGGTATCAAGACGTAACTATTGCTTGGTGTCCGCCTTGCTCTGGAGGCGGATGGCCTTAGGGAGAAGCTTGAGTGTGTCAGCCATGCACATAAGTATTCTTCACTGTAAATTTTGTTTTCATTTTTAACCCAGTTACGGTACTTTGTCCAATGCACAACTGATCTCTCAGTAGATATTCATTTGCAAATAGCGTGGCCTTGATCAGTGTGAGGGAAGGAGGGAAGTGACCTCGCGGGTGCGAGGGTGACTCACCGAGAGGCCTTGTGCGCGCCACTCTTCGTGTCCGATGCGCGTGTGGCCCGGCTCCTTTCCGCCTGGGGAAAGTTCATGGTTTTGACCCTGGAGTTACCAATTCAATTGAGTTGTCTTCTGTTTTTAGGAAGGATCAGAATTACTCTGATAAGTAACAAAGTTGACTGCTTTGGTGTCCAATCTCAGGTTTTAGAATAGAGTGGTGTAAAATCCCACTGTTAACTCTTAAAACAATTTTAATGTAATACACCCTAAAAGTCACATGCATGAGGCCTGTTCAGAGAGCAGAGCCTCCCATCATTTTCCTCCTTTTCCACTTTGTACTTCACTTGAGAAAGTGTCGAGTGATCTTACATTGTATATTTCCATTTGAACCCCGACATATTTTCTCAAAGATAAAGCACTTTTTTGATAATGAAATTCATGGGATCTTCGTGTGATGTGGATCATGGTTTCTCAGGCTCCCTTAGATAATCTGCTTACAAATATTGTTCTGTGTAAGAAGAGTGAAAATCTTTGCTAATGTTAGGAAGTTTGTATTATTGATCCAGAATGCGTTTTGCTAGCTTCCAATCGATGGGAGAGTAAACAATGCTGCATTCACAATTTAATAAGTTACTTTCCCTTAAGCCTTAAGGTAACTTTTTTTTTTTTCCTGTCAACAACAGCACTGAAGTTAGAGTAAGTGAATGAGATTATCAGTTTTCAGGGTTGGTTTTAGAGTACTGTAAATCCATGAGCTGTCTTCCTAAACAAGTTACTATCCCCCTTGAATAAACTGGATAGTGGGTGTGTGGGTGGGCTGGGGGGATAGCTTGTAGGAAAGAGAAAAGAAAGAAAACCACATTTACCTTAAGAAAAATACACAAAATTTAAAAGTGCATGTTGGCGCCCC